GAGAGAGAGGATGAGAGAGAAGAGAAAGAGGAGAGAGAAGAGAAAAGACGAGAGAGAGGAAGAGAGAGAGAGAGAAGAGAAGGAAGAGAAGAAGAAGAAGAGAAGAAGAAGAGAAGAAGAAGAAGAAGAAGAAGAAGAAGAAGAGAAGAGAAGAAGAAGAAGAAGAAGAAGAAGAAGAAGAAGAAGAAGAAGAAGGAGAGGAAGAAGGAGAAGAAGGAGAGAAGGAGAAGAAGGAGAAGAAGGAGAAGAAGGAGAAGAAGGAGAAGGAGGAAAGGAGGAGAAGGAGAAGAAGAAGAAGGAGAAGGAGAAGAAGAAAAAGGAGAAGGAGAAGAAGAAAAAAGAGAGAAGGAGAAGAAAAAGAGAGGAGGAGAGGAGGAGGAAGGAGGAGGAGGAGGAGGAGGAGGAGGAGGAGGGAGGAAAGGAGGAGGAGGAAGGAGAAAAGGAGAGAAGAAAAGAAGAAGAAGGAGAAGGAGGAGAAGAAAAGGAGAAGGAGAAGGGAGAGAAGAAGGAGAAGACAGAGAAGAAGAGAGGGAGAGAGAGAGAAGAGAAGAATAAGAGGAACAGCAACAACAACAACAAATATAACACCAACAACAATAACAACAAGGAAAAGAAAAAGAAAAAAGAAAAGAAAAAAAGAAAAGAAAGAAGAAGAAAGAAAAAAGAACAAGAACAAAGAAGAAGAAGAAGAAAAAGAACAAGAACAAGAAGAAGAAAGAACAAGAACAAGAAAAAATAAAGACGAAAAAAGAAGAAAAAGAACAAGAACAAGAAAAAATAAAAGACGAAAAGAAGAAGAAGAACAAGTACAAGAAAAAATAAAAGACGAAAAGAAGAAGAAGAAGAGGAAAAAGAACAGCCCCCACATCTGGAATCCAATTAGAGAGAGTAATCACGGCAATATTGTTTGTTGCATTTCCCATTCTACAGGAAGTTGATCTTCCTGGTTTAATGATCACGCCTTCATGTAATATCTTTAATATAGGGCAACATGGATGAATTTCCCACATATACCACACATAATGAAAACAAACTGATAAACAAACCAATAAAGAAAGAAAGAAACAAATTCTTAAACCTCAGTATAAAAAAAAGAGTCCCACAGAAATATTAATGTGGACCTTCTGAATTATTGATCAGAGACTCTTGTGACCTCAAGCTTCAATAAAACATTTGACAGCCATCTTCTGCCTTCTGCATAATTAGTTTCTCTGGCAACATTAAAATCTAAATTAGCTGTAAGGTCTTTCCTTCCCTATCAAAACCCAAGTTGATCATTGGTTATTTCTGATTAGTATTTTATGACACTCATCACCACTATCCTCTCAGTCACTAAGTTCTTCACATTACTAATTGCAAAAGACAAAAAAACTCTCAAATTCAATTTCCACATGTTAATAAAATTAGTAACAACATTTTTCATGCACAAAAAATACACATGCAATCATGCACTGATTTGCAAACAATGGCTATGAAAGCTGAATAGGTGATGCTAGAATGATGAAATTCCCTCATCGCTCGCATAAGAAGAGAAATTATCCATAATAAAAATTCAATATTCCATTTCTTTTCCTCTCTCCTCCTCTAATGATTAGCCAATTGGAGCAGCTTACCATACTTAACCCAAGCCTAATCCACCTGCATTATAAAATCTGTCTAGCCTGAACTAAATACTTACGTAACCTATATCAATTTCAAGCATGTTAAAGCAACATTTGCATTTATAACTAAATAATGATGGAACCAATCCCAGCCAATAACATCCATTTTTTAACTATCACACTAAAACTATTTCCCTGGAAAAATAATAAAAGTAAACTTTCCGGCACAAACACAGACTAATGAATGTATTTTCTTACTGCCTCTGCCACCAATAAATCTTTTCATATTTTCCAACGCATTTCAGCAATACATCAACCTCCTGTTATATTCTAAATCATTTCATAATAATCATCCATCTAAAATCTTAGTATTATGTACAGTCTTCCTACATTACTTATATGTATAAACAGAGATAAAAAGAAAATAACATGAAAAAATTATTCAACAAAGATGAGAGGATCCAGTTCATGGGAAAATTACTTAACAAAGAATCAGACTAGAAAAAAAACTGATGTGAAAATCATTTAGAAGAGTTAGGCGACAAGACCCAAATAATAAAAAAAATTGTTCGATTATTCAACAAAAAGGTACCTGGATGTTGCTGAGAGAAGCTTTAAGTTGCTGTTCCAGTGCTGCGTTAGTTGCGTCCCGGGCCTAATGCACTTGTCCACTGCACTGCACACTCAAATAGCCGCAGAAATCAGATGCGAGGTTTACAGTTGTCTTTTAAACTAAAGCCTGCTTACATCTTTCTGGTCTTACCTTTCTATACATTACTAGCACAAGCAAAACAACACAAGTGTTTGATACATAACATGCTATAAGGAGAGGAAAAAAAATAATAATAAATTATAAGAAAAAAAAAAAAAATCTGATATCAGTATAACTCCAACTTACCTTGCTTTTTATCTAGTGAGCGCATATGGAAAGAAGAAAGAGAGAGAAGAATGTCAGCAGGAGAAATACATCAATTACAAGACACATGCAGCGGCACAAATAAAAAAAAATGGAGCTTAAGCTTTTCGACTATGTTAGTTAAGTATCTAATCATGTTAAATGATGATGCTTCAATGTCAGTACAACAATACAAGAATTAGTTGGGTTAATAACTACCAATTTAAAAGCATCTGTGGTTGGAAAAGCTACAGTAAAATCTGTCCATAACACTACAGTAAAATCTCTTATGTGGAGGATTCCATGAGTACACTTTCCTTCCACAACAAAATGTAAGTAAATTTTAGCTATTGCACTTCTTAATGTATAAAAAGATTATGTTGTCTTCTTAAGAGGACTACTATCTTTTCCTTTAATTTAATAAGCATGTTTAATTTCACTGACTGTCAACTGCATGGAATTAATTGCATAAAACAATCATAAATCTAACATTTGCTAACTAATGATTCTCTTTGTTAGCATTAATACTCTTCTGAAAAAAATACTATTAGAAGAAAAAAATAAACATCTGATATATGTAGCAATTACATACAAAAAACAAAACCCAAAATATGAAATAATATTTTCAAACATTCAAGTATTGACACAGAATTAAAATTACCCTATAAATAGTTTAAAATGGACATTCAAGTATTTAATACACACACAGGTACACAAACAGGCACAAAGGCACACACAGAAAAACACACATCATGAACCAATTTCTCCTCCATTTCTAAGGCTTGGGGTGCTCATATGATCAACTCGTCTTTTTAGTATCAGAAAATTTCCTACACAACTGCAAAAGGCTACCCCCTTTCGGGAGTTGCTTTATAATAAGATTTTATAACAGGTTTTGACAACTTTTATCTGTCTTTGCTTTGGCCTGTTTATATGATTCTGACTTTAAACAGTTTTATTTAGAAATCATCTTCAAAAAGCAAACACATCAGTTGATTCTAAGAGTGGAACATATCATCATACCAAACATGATGATAATGTTGCTACAAAAAAAAAAAGGAAAATGGTCCTTTATTTCCTAATCAGACAAAGGGGAAAAATGCAATGTAACTTTCTAATGTTTTCTCCCAAAATGCATAAAAGTTAACTTTATTATATTTTGTTCAGAATAGTGTCCTCACTGGCTCAGTGGGCTAAGGCATCGAAGTAGTGATCTAGAGTTCAGATGTTCAAGCCTCTCTGATATAATGAATATTTAGGACCCCAACATAGGGAAATGAGTGGTATAGGTCAAGGCTATGCATCACTGAACACCTGCCCACCCTTATCCATCAAAGTAATTTTCAGCCATAGTAATGTTCAGCCATCAAAGTAATGTTCAGCCATTGTATATATAACTGTGTACAATAGCCCTTACTGATCTCGAAACCATGATGTGCAATAATCACTCATTTTCAAAAATGCTTTCTTTCTTTTCTTACAAGGTTGATGATATAAATTTAGGATATAATCTGGTGTAACAGACATGAATTGGATTAATAGGAGAGACATGGACTTTGTCAAGCCTACTGAAATACAGGAAGATATTCTTAACTGCAATGGAAATTTTCAGCTGAGGACTAAATTGCGCACACATCCACTGCAGCCACACCAGCTCAAACCTAACCATTTCAAACCTCTAGCAAAAATTATGCAAACTGTTCCACTTTATGTTATAAAATTCCTGCACTGAGTCCTTTCCATTAAAACCATACTTCCACTGCCCAGTCTAAAAGGAACATGTAAAAAAATATATAAACAAATAAATAAAAAAATAACAATCACGGTGCCATGCTACCTACCTTTTCATCATGTGACCCTAGGAGAGCATCGAGCCACTGATAAATGTTACCGTCATCTGCCAGTAATTGAGGGTCAAAAGATGGGCCACAGCAAAGCACAGCACTGGAGGCGTGGAGTGCACACAGCTCGAATTCTGATGGCAGGCGGTTTCCAGAATCTGGGCTCTGCATTTTAAGTTGTAAAAATAGCATCAGTAAAGAGTAAGAATATGATAAAGAGGAAGAAAAAAAGAACGAACAAGAACAAAAATAACAAGAATAAGAATAAGAATAAAAAAAGAACAAAAGAAGGAAGAAAGAAGAAGAAGAAGAAGAAAGAACAAAAAGAAGTGAAAGAAGATAATAATAATAAGAATAGGAAACAATAATAATGATAACGAAAGAAAAAAAATGAAAAAACAAACAAACAAAAGACAAAGAAGAAAAATTTCAAAAATGGAAAAAAAAAAAAGACATAGAAGAAGAGGAAGAAAAGAGGAATATGTGTTTAAGAAGAACAAAAGAAAAGAAAAGGGAGCAAAAAAGAGGAAAAGAGGATGGTTAGAGAGATAGATAGGTATATGTGCATCCGTATTCCTTTATCAATTCATCATCAAACACATATTTTTTCTGAAAACCTTAAAAATACAGTACACAGTGCACAGACCTTGAAGCCAAACGGAGCACCAAAGACACCACTCCACGACGCAAAGAGGTAAAAGAGGTCCTTCCGAAGTGCTCGTGGAATAAGGGTTTGCCGCTGTTCCACTGTTCATAAATCAAAGAATCATAAAACTATCCCTATATCAATTAATGAGACTAATGCTTTTCAAATGACAATATTCTTCCAATTTCTATTTCAACTTTTTGACAATTCCAGCAATCTATGAATCAACAGTTACCAAATACATAAATTTTTTGCAGGATATTTACATGAAAAACTGCCAATAAGCTTTCGAACAAAGTGGCAAAAATGTGTTTTGATCTGCTGTAGTGTGTTATCCTTATCATTTTCATTCTCCAAGTACAGACGGGCTCCATCCATGTACTCTAGGTAGCGCTTTTGAAGAGATCCTGTATCACCATCAATGACACTTTCACTGTGTAAAGGCAAACCATGCATTAAAAATACAGAAAATCATATATATCAGCTATTCATTTTCTAAAAACAGCATTATTAGAGCATACAGCTATATTTCTGTCAAGATATTAAATATGTAATAAATAAAATGTGCAAGATATATACATACCTCAAAGCAAATGTTCCTTGCTCTGCACTCATTTCAAATAACTTTACTAAAGTCACTCTCAGAGCATCTCGTCTCTTCCTTCGCCTCATGTTTTCCTGCTTTCTGTCAATACTTTCACGTATGTATGGCAGCAGCTCTTCCATTAAATCACTGAGGGGAATATGGACTTGAGTAACTATACACTTATAATTCATGATAACAATAGCGCACTATATGCTGAAACTGTAACTTCTTGTAATCCTCCCAACAAAAAATGTATTTGATAATATTATTGACAAATAATCTCACAACAGCATACTTCATTCTAGTTTACCTTAAGGCAATGTGATTGATCTTCCCCAGA